CAATTAAAATTAGTAATGTATTATATTTTACATTTTGTGACTTATACTTACTCCACGTGTTACATTTTCCTCATGACAGTTCAAGTTTGTTAACTGTTGTGCTAAATTTCAGACATAATCATCATGTGTTGCCTGCCTTCCTCAGCACAGCTCTAGCATTTCATAGCAGCTTATCATAACACCTGAAAGGGACTATGCTGCTGACCTTTCATTTGTACCCAATTGTACATAAAAGAAAAAAAAGTAGAAAAAAAAGGAGAAAAACAGGTATAGATACAACCCCAAGAAACAACATGTAATTACATCACAAGTATGAATGAAAGAAAAAAAAATCACATGCAATTAAGAATAAAAAAACATATTCACATACCACTCTCAATAGAAAATTATACTTCATAGCACAAATTTTCCCTTAGACTAAAATATATGCATAAGTGCCCATGCAAACTTCCATGCAGAAAGAAACATGAAATGTGTATAAAGAGAGACTGCTTATGAAACAAAGTGCCTCTATCTAATATTACTTTTTTTCTTTGTGCCCTAAACGAGAACTAACACTGTTAGTTTCCTCCTTTTCATAATACATATTTGATCTTTTGAAAATTACAGGGAAAGTGTGATATGCACTAATTTCTAGTGCCATACACTTAAACAACATTGAGATTGAGATTGAGATTACGGTGATGATACTGACCACAGAACACCTCTTCTTTTTCTTTGCAGTTGCCTAATATACATGTTAAGGCGAGTTTTAAGTTCTCCTTGGATAAGAAAAAGTAACAACAGATATAACGCTATTTACAGATCTATATCCAAGCCGTGCTCCACTCCCTCAAATATTGAGCTGAACCTGGGTGAATCAGGACTGCTAATTTACCCAGGCACAGGAACATATATCAGACTGAGCATCTCCAACAGCTCTATACAGAGTTTTCATGTTAACTTGTAGATCTACAAAACTTTTATTAAATCTATCTGTATACTAATGCATCAGTGCTTGCTCCTGTGCAGAAAGCAGTAACATTAGGGTAAACATTTCTGAATTAGTGATTACTTATTGACTAAATGAGCAGTCACATATAATGCATTACGTGAATGAGCGCCATACATTGGAATACAAAATAACTCTCCTGCCACTCTTCTATTCCTCTCCACAAAACATGTAAAGGGTACTGCAATATTATAAAATAACGATCATTAAGTAATTTTAGCATTAAGCAATAATTTATAATGCACTGCTTGCCTCCTCTTTGACAATGCAGTAAAAATAGAAACACTTAAAATAAAGGAAGGAAAAGATCTGGACTGTGTATGTTTTGTATAATGATGAACCAAGTTAGAAAAGCAGTATCTAAAGTTTGTAGGGCCATATTTCCTAACTACAAATCCTGGCTGTTTTCACTGCCACTGAACCTTGTAAAAAGAAAGAACAAAACATTCAGGGAAACAAAGCTAGTGCATAAAAAAACTGAAAAATGTGAGAAGCACTAGGTTTATCATTCAAGATAACACCTTGAAAGTCTCTGATACATGCCAAAAATGTGTTCAGAAAATAAATATTCATTCTGATGACAAATACTAATAATCTATAGCCTGATTTGCACTTGTTGTGGGTGCTGTATCCTTGTTACATATTTCCAAGTGACATGACAGTTCTTTCATTCCCCCATATCAGTGCATACCCTATCAGTTCAGAGGACATTAAGATTGAATATTATTTCTTTCTGGCAGCAGTAATACTTCATCTCTGAACATTTTGGTTCAACAACTATTCAAACACATGAGTGGACTGTATAAATACTTTACAAATATGCACCCATCTGATTATGAGTTTTTGTTAACTTCAACTGGATTGTAAATTGCTGTACACAACAGGAATGAGCATGCAACAGGACAACCAGGACATGTTTCCTGTTTACAATGACTTAGCTGAGCAGGATCATCCCTTTCAGCTTTCAAGAAAATACTAAGAGATGGCTAATATTTCCTACGTCTATATCACATAATGACATGCATCAGTAAAATGCTATTAGAATATGCAGAAATATAATAAAAGTGTATCTTAATGTTCCTTTTTTTCCATATATCTAACATCTACAGTAGTAAAAGAACAGTTGCAAGTTGTACCCGAGAGCTCTGATACTAAACGTCTGATGGAGCAAGAAGCAAGAGGTGTTCCGCATTCAAGAACTTCAACTCATCACAAGGATAAACGCTGTTAAGATATTGTCATTTTCCAGTCAACAATACCAATCTTAATTCTGAATTATTACTTTCCAAAACTCACACAAACTTATAAACATACAGATCAGTTTTACAGTTATATAATTAAACTATGAAGAGGACCCGAGAAAATCTGCATAGACATGAAGAATGTTTACTTGGGAAAATATTAAATATGACGGAATAAAACAATTTAATTGTTATTATCATCCAGTACTTCAGTCTTACCTTATAACACATGTCAGCAGAAAGCTCTTCCCTAATAATAAAAGCAATT